AGAGCTTGCTTCAAGTTCATTTCGGACTGGTAGACCAGGGCGTGGATCGAAGAATTCACCTGACAAGAGAAAAATCGAGACATAAGTATTGAGAAAAAAATCTAAGTATAGAAGGATTGATGGTTGGGTACATACCACCATGTAGTGTATCGTCTCTCTTCCCCCGAGCTGAGCGGCCGGTAGTTTAGCCCACCGAGTAACCTCTTCAGGGAAGACCGCATCATTGTTGTTGAGGAGACCAAGTTTCGGGCTCAAGACGCTCTGAGATGGGATATCGCTGCCCGATGGGGCAGCCTCCTGAGCTTGCTGGGCCTCGGAAGATGTAGTTTCCTCAAGCAATTGGTGTGGGGAAGCCCTATCCCGGTCCTTTTCGACCAGGTCAATTACTAGGGGTTGTTCGGTCCTGGCTAGGGGTTTGGAGGTGGTGACACCAATGCCCAAAAGTGGGAACCTCCTCTTGAATGCAGGCCTTCTTGGAGGCCCTCTTCTTCTTCTTGCCCTTCTGCATGCCTTTGAAGAGCTCGTCGGTAGAGAAGTCGGCCATGATGACTACAAGAAAGCAATGAGCAGAGTCAGCTGCAACATCAAAGTAAAATAAAATAAGAAAAAGAGTACAACAGTTAGCGACCTACCGGGAGGACTTAGGCCGGCCTGCGCAAGCTTCTCTTCAGTCACGAAGTTCTCAAACTTCAAGCCTAGCTTCGCCCAAGCCCAGACTTCCTCCCGCACCTTTTTATCTAGCCTAACGTCGGGATCCTGGATGGCGGGTCTCTAGTGGGTTGGAAAAGGCAACCCTTCTGCGTTACGAACTACGAAGTAACGCCTCTTCCAGGCTGGGACTTTGTTGGGGAGCTTGTGTAACAACTTGTACTCGAGACGAGGAGACATGTAGTAACTACGCCTATGCTCGGGTAGAACACAGACAAAATTCTTCTTGATGGAAAGGATCGAGGAAAAAATGTCGAGGTCAAGAGGTCGATTATAGTCGTGAAAAAGGGAGATGGTACCTACAATATTGCGAATGGAGTTCGGGTGGAGCTGGTCTATGGCGATGTCAAAAAATTTGACGATCTCGATTATGAAAGGGTAGAGTTGAAAACGAAGGCCAGCCATGAGCTATTCCTCGAAGACCACGATCTCGTCGTGACCATGATCCCAAGGAAAATTTCCTAAGTAGATACCATAAGCGAGGTCGTTAGGAAGTCTATAGCGATCAACTAAGGAGAGGAGCTTGTCCGCTGTCATTGTAGACAGACCGAAGCTGTCTGGCAGGCGACCTCGGTGTGAGGAGGAGGCCGATTTGCCAGAAGCTTCTCGCTCTCGCCGAGGTGAGTCTACGTCAGACGGATTGGGGTCCTCATCCTATTTCGAAGTGCCCACCTCGGTAGGATGAGGCTCCATAGTTTATACCGAGGTACCCACCTCAGCCCCAGCGGACTCACCACTCCTATCTAGAAGGCTATCTAAACTAAGGTCAGACATAATGAATTAAAAGGAAACAGACGAATTCACCAAAAGACAAAAGAGGAAGCGAACTGCCTTGGATACAAGACGCGAGCTGAAGAACGGATGCGCGACCTCAACTCTCGGATGCACTTCGAAAGACGAAGGAAAGGGAACCTGGGTCCCCCTATTTATAGCCACCATATCCAGGAACTGACGGTTCAGATCAACGCGATCCTATGGCTCTCGTGAAAACCGACCGCACTCTCTTCGAGGAAAGATTTCAGCTGAGCACGATTTTTGGCGTCCGCGCGTCCCCAACACGCGACCTGGTTTTTCCATTGAGCCACATGGGTTACATCAGTCCAACCATAAAATCGGGAGGTGAGCCAAGAAGAAATCAGGCCAACCTGCTTGTACTGACTGTAAACTCCCCACACCGAGGTTGCGACCCCTGGCACAGGGAGTGGGGGGCAATTGATGAGGGGTAATTTGGCCTGACCTAGCGACCGAGGTACACATGAATGCGATCAGCCAGTAGGGTGACAACTCAGCAAGGGAGCCTCACCAGCAACTCAGGAGCTCGGGACCTTGAGCACCTCGACACCTAATTCAGTTCAGGGCCAAAGGACTAAAGTGCCAGTTCGGAGCCAAAGAGCCGAGATGCTAGTTTGGGACCAAAGAACAGAAGCGCCACGTAAGCGACTCCAGAAACTTCCCCAACGGACTCCGAATCTCCCGGGATCACGACGTCTAGTAACATGGCTCATCCTCACCCCGTCTGAATCAGAGGAAAGTGATAAACCTTATCAACTGGCGGATTGCTCTTCTTTGGAAATGGAACGGATCTTATCTAGCATTCAACTAGACGTATTGCTCTCCTTTTCAAGGCGAAGGTACACACGATTACTCACATTCAATATCTCTAGCATTCATACTTAGTTTGCAAACACACAGAATACTGACTTAAGCATCAGAGCGACCTCACTGGGTCTTCCACCCCGGTCCCTCTGAGCACTGTTTTGCAGATTGATCTAGCTCACCATGCGAATATGTTCAGACAATTCTCCAGCTAGGAGCTTCCAGATCGCACATCATCATAAAAGAAATCAATTACCGAAAAAAGGAAGAAATCGAAGACAGAAGAAAGTCAATTACAGATGGCTGATGGCTTTGTTGATAACTATGGTAGAAAGCTGACCTGAATCAGCGACGGCGGTAGTTCAAAACAAACAAATATGAGTGAATGAATTGTTTTCCAATTAGGAGACCCTCCGTTTTCCCTATTGAGAAAGGCGCTAGGTATGATCTCCTGTGGAATTAGTTTTGGTTAAGCTATTCCGTCATCTTCTTTCATTGTTCCTGTTTCTATTCTTTCCTGCTTTCTGTCTTCAATTGTAATTGGTAGCATGTTTTAATGTTATGAGTATTATTTATTTTAGTTTCAGTTTTGTCTCTGTTTCATTTGCTATCTATTGCTATTATTTCCCTTTCTTTCCTGTTTGCCTAGAAAGTGTTTGAAAAAATTCTAAAGGCAATCGTAAAAAATGTCCATTGTCTCCGAATCCTTTGTCTTTCTCAGCACTGTTGGGTTTTTTTTTTTGTGATGGAACATGATTGCCTTTTTTGTATTTTTTGTAACTTTTTTTCTTTTTTTTGTGTTTTTAAAATTTTTAGTTTTCTTCATTTATGTTGTGTTTTATGTAATTTGTGGTTTTCTCTGTGTTCTTTGTAATTTTTGTTATTTTTTCTTTTTCATAATCTCTCTCATGTTCTATAATTTCTGTTAGCTTTATGCATTTGTTATTTTTTTTATATTTTTTATAATTTTCATTAACTTTTGTATTTTTTTATGCATTTTTATATAACGGCGGTTAACAGATTAGATAAATAGACTAGATTGGGTCAAAGAATATTTGGATGGAACCCAATCCATATAATTTTATCTAAATGAGTCATTAATAGAGTAATAACTATTTTTTCTTAATAACTATCTTTTTCAATTAGCAAAAAAGAAAATGTTATACAGTTCAGATGCACCCAAATCCGCCCAATTGCCAGCCTTATATGTGGTTCAACGTTCAATCAATACGATTTGTCCGTTTTACTCAACAACTCCACCACTATATATAATATAATATGGTGTGAATTCATCCACCTAACAGAATAATCATTCATTGATGGCGGGATAATGAGACCGGATCTGCTAATCACACATGGCGCTTCATACCGATCTTACAAATACATCTTTATCATATAGGGAATATTTTAAGAACTTATTATATTATTATTCACGAAATATTTTTAATGTATGGTGAGATATGCATATAAAGTCGGTGTGAGGAATAAATCGCAATTTCGGGGTAATAGGCTATAATAGTCATGCTTGGTATAATGATTACAAAGTAGGGGTGTTCATAAGAAGGTCCAATCCGACCAAATCGATCAATTTGGACTGATCCAATCAGAGTCAGTCGGGTTTTCATCAGTACGGGTCAATTTCGGATTGTACAAATTCTTAAATCGATGATTTAGGTTGGTTTTGGTTTTCACACAAAAAAACCGAAACCGACCCGAACCGAACCAACTTAGTTCCTAGTTCAAACATGAAGTTCCAAAGCCCATTTGGCCACCTAGTTTTTGAATGGTTGCAAGAAATTTTGGATTAGTGAATAGTGATTAATGAACAACTTTTGTGATTAACTTTTCATTTAAATTTTATCAATAGGAGATGGCTGAAATGATGTTCAATTTATGATTGTTTTTAAAATTAGCAAGATTTTATTACAGGGATGAACTTAGAACCAAAACGGACCCAAACCGACCCAACCTGACTCAAACCGATCAGGTTGATTTTACTTAATACTAAGTCGATTTTGATTACTATATCAAATAACCCAACTGGGTCGGATAGATTGGAAAAACCGCAATAAACTAACCGAACCCAACCCGTGAACAGCCCTGTTACAAAAGGTGAGATCCGACCCTACCGCCGACCAAATAATGTGATTCCTACCATACGTACGTTTTCTTTTCTTGTTTACATGAACTATAACACTCAATTTATCATCCACCTTACATAATAACCCTTCATAAATTGAAATCTTGGCAAGCATGAAAAATAACCCAACTTGGAAGAAACCTCCAACGACTGAGTGCCGATTACCATCCGTCGGTGGTGGTGGGGTAATATGCTACTAGCCAAAATAGAGACATGCATGGTGCAATAATTTCAAATGGAGACACCAGAGCCTCAATTCTGAGATTTTCAATTGGTATGATTATTTTCCACGTGATCTTTAATGTGTTCTTCGTTATTGTAATTTGTAGTAGTAATGGCCCACAAAGATAACTTGTCAATGTTGTCATGTGTAAATGCTATTATTCGTCTATTATGATCTAACACAGTGTTTATAATTATTGTTGATGCGGACGGTAGGACCGTTTGACTCGGAAATCATATACGCAATCGATTCTGTTTCACTCTTGACCTGTTTTGGGGCCAAAAATCGTTGATTTGATTCAAGAACTACTTATTCGAGTGGTCGAACTATTGATCCATTCGACCTGGACATCAGTTCATTGTTTAATAACAAAAAGGATGTTAAAAGATAGAGAGGGACACTTATATTAAACATCACCGAGATCCTAGAGACAAATGCAAAAAAAAGGATTGGAGCGGAGAGATCTTGCATCTTAGTTCTCAAATTAAATCTAAGATTTGAGACGAGAGAGGGATAAGAATGGATGTCAACTTGCTACTGTGCTTCTGTTGTTGCTGCCATCTCCGTCGCTATCACGATCACCGGTGAATGCCAGATCCTCTCATTCTTTTTCTTTATTTTCTTTTCTTTCTTTCTTTCCCTCAGCCGATAACCACCTCTATCTCAACCTCTCTTCTCATAAAAAGAAAGACAACTACAAATATTTGTCATAATCTAATTAAACTGTTATAACCGTTCTACCTGAATAATCAAATCGCTGACACGGGAATCGGCGGCCACAGCAATTCCATTTTCGGTTTGCTTTTTTAAAACCTTGGACTCTAACAAAAGTAGTAGACGAGTTTTTGGAATGGCAATCTCTATTCTATCTGCTGGTGCTGGTGGGCATTAGTCCCAACGGGAGGTTTTTTTTTTTTTTTTCTCTTAAAAAATGGATATTGCGACGGGATGGGTTTTGGGGTTTTACTACCCATTAGCGTGCATATAGATAGGATATGGTATTAGACTAAAATTAATCCTCACTAACCCACGTATTATTGAATGTATGAGATGTTGAATATAATAATATTTTAAATTTTATATGAAGGATTGATAGTATTTCACATGTTTTATTCAAATAATTGAAAATTCTGATGTTGTTCATGTTATTAGATGCAGGTTTTGGACTCAATCCGCAAATGCAACCCACCCTACCTTCAAATGTGGGGAGGGTTTTGCATTTTCATATGCAAGAAGGGTCAGAATTCTAAAAATTCCCCCAATATGAAAATGATTAAGATGCGATGGCATGATGGCCGCAGAAATAACCCAGTTCAATTCAATATATATTGAAGTGGTTAATTAATGAATTAGTATATATTGAGCTAGAAGCGGCTGGGGCTGATCATCTCAACACTCGCGCGTGAAGCAACACTAGGAAAAAACAAATTAAGAAGAGGAATGTCTAGTCTTCTGCAAGTGTTGGAGGAGAAGCAAACCATCCCATTTCATCCATTCTCTTTGTTTCTAACGATCCTTTTCTCCTACTTCTTGTTTCTTTTTGTGTTCAATGGATTCAGTAATTTTACTCGTAGATCAACTCAAGCCAAGGAATACAGACTACCACCTTCTCCGTTCAAGCTCCCGATTGTAGGGAACCTTCACCAACTATTACTATCTTCTCCCAATATGCACCGTACTCTCCGATCCCTTTCTCAATGCCATGGCCCGCTCATGCTTCTACAGCTTGGCAACATACCAACTGTTGTGGTCTCGTCGCCCGACATCGCTCGAGAAATCTTGAAGACCCACGACATCATCTTCGCCAGCAGACCCAAGGTGATCGCCGCTGAGCGCCTTCTCTACAATTATAAGGATCTGGCAAGTGCACCTTACGGCGAGTACTGGCGTCAGGTTCGTAAGATCTGTATTCTCCAACTTCTTAGTGTGAAAAAGGTGCAATCATTTCGAAGAGTGAGAGAGGAAGAGACAGCACTCTTGATCGAGAACATCCGTCGTTCCTGTTTTTCTTCACCTTCTTTGTCGGCTCCGGTGAACCTAAGCGAATCGTTGGTTTCTCTCACCAACGATATAATCTGTAGGGTTGCCTTCGGGAGGAAATATAGTGGAGGGGAGGGTGGCAGGAGGTTTAGGCGGTTGATGAGCGAGTTCGGGGCACTGTTGGGGATGTTCAATGTCGGAGACTACATTCCATCGTTTGCTTGGGTGAATTATTTTAATGGATTGAACACGAGACTGGAGAAGACGTTCAGAGAACTGGATTGCTTTCTCGATCAAGTAGTCAAAGACCACGTTGATCGTAAGAAGAAGAAAGAAAATGGTGATGGTGTCGATGAAGATGACTTGGTTGACACTTTGCTTGAGATTGCAGAGGACGGTACGATTGGCATTCCTCTCGAGACAGAAAACATCAAAGCTATCATATTGGTAAGCGATTATATATACTACGCATAATTCAAATTTTAGAAATCGGATCTGACCTTTCGCATTATTCAAACTTGAGATCACCGAATACTCCACGTCATTCCTCAATCTTACCTTCGCTATTGGTCAGTAGCAGTAGGGCTAGCTGTAATTGGACCGGATCGGATTCTGTAAAGACTATTTGATTCGATCTAACAAGAAATACGATCGAACAGAACTCATTAGATTTTCAAGAGTATAATTGGAATATCTTATCGGATATCTGATTTAACTTGAATTGTAATAAAAAATTTTGATGATATAATATGTTATAAAAAATAATTATATAAATTAATAATACATAGAATATATAATATTTTATAACTAATGGATTGGATTAATTGGACCATTTGGTAGATTGAATTGGGGTATATCAGAATTTGATCCATTAACTAAATGGATCGACTTTTCCGATCCAATCCGGCTTTTATGGGATAGAAATTCAAATTTGAATCAACCTACGATGCTTTATTTTTTCTCTTGTCCTCTTGTAATTCACTTCTACTACGGCCGAATTTTAGCCCCGAGCTGCTTCCACCAATGACTGAACTAAAGCTCCATGTCCGGTCTGGGTCCACTGTGAGCTGTACAACAGTGAGACAAGCCGTTGTTATATATGAAATTGACGTAATTAAGGCGGTGTTCGGCATCGTGTTTATGTCGTAGACGGGACCCACGGGATGAACACCAGTTTGGCTGGTTAGCGTGAACCGGTCCCGTGTATAACCCAATTTCTCATTCACGGAAAAAACTTGTGGTTAGGGCTTGTTCATATTCTATTTTTAACATCCTCTACTTCACACTTTTCCTGAAAGGGTGAAATCCTATTGTCTGTTTCACATTTTTATATTTTTGTTAATAAAATATTAATTATTTTACTTACTTTTTTACTTTTTTTAATTTTTAATATTTTTATCAATAACATAATATTTTTAAATATTTAAAATATATTTTTAAAATTTTAATTATTTTACTATTGTTTTTATAAAAAAATAATATTTATTGGTTAATAGACCTCTTCATGGGCCGACCCGATCTAAGTCGGCCTTGGACAACATTTCAGGCCCGTGGGCTCAGGCTTAAAATATTGGGCCAGACTTTTTTCAGGCCGGGCTTAGAATTTCTCAAAAAAGCCCGGCCCGAGCCCGAGCACAACTTGATAATGTATTATATTAATAAAAATATATTTTATATAATTGAAAAGCATATATATAATATATATTTTTCTCTTCTTTCAAGTAATAATGAGACTTTTCATTATTTTTTTAGGTTTTGAGGTCTTTTAATATAAATAAAACAACTTTTAATTGAACTAAAAATGAAAAATCTTTTTTTTTTCAAATTTCTAGTCGGGCTCGGGCTCAAGACATAGGCCCAATGGTCGGGCCGGGCTCGAGCTCGGGCTTGAACATTTTCTGTTAATGTAAAGGCAAAGCCCGACCCATGAACAGGTCTATTAGTTAATATTAATTCATTGATGCATTTTTCAATATATTTATCATATAGAATGTAAAAATTAGATATTTATGATTAATTGTGTAGATCAGGTTTTCGAACCGTCATTGACCCGGATGGTCGGACTGTTCGGCCCGAGAACCGTCCAAGCAAATGGTTCCGTTTTACCCCAAACTCGTCTTTTGGCCAAAAACTGTTGAAAAGTCAACAACCCGTTGATCCGGGCAATCGAACCGTCGACCCATTCAATGGTTTTTGATTGTTTTTATTTTTTTAATTTGTTTGTCAGAACGGGCCGTTCGTTCGAATCGAATAGTCGAACTGTCGACCCAGAAACCGATGGCCAAAGTAGTTCCATTTTCGGGTCATTTTTTAAAACGTTGGTGTAGATCATACATAAATGTATACGTGATACATGGAATCAAAAAGTGTGGTGGTGGACTGGTCTACACTACACCTACACTTATAGAATGTCACTGTGAATATGAACTGTGGTGTGGTATGAATTGATCCTTACCAAAGGATGTGGTGTGGACCAATTCACACTCACAAATCTTGGGACCCTAGACAGGCAGTTTGTTCAAGACGTAGATCACCTAGTTTGACTATGAATTTAAATAAAACGATCGTGCCAGCTTTTTATTGGGCGATCTAATTCCGAACAATGTTTTAATTAGTTTTACTGTTGAACCATTTTGAAGTAGATCTTCCAAAGATTAATTTCAACTACTTGTTTGGAAATTCAAGCTAGTAGTTTGACTATGAATTTAAATAAAACAATCGTGCCAGCTTTTTATTGGGCGATCTAATTCCAAACAATGTTTTAATTAGTTTTACTGTTGAACCATTTTGAAGTAGATCTTCTAAAGATTAATTTCAACTACTTGTTTGGAAATTCAAGCTAGTAGTCATGCGTTTAATTAACCAATGAATGTTAATTGTTGTCACATGCATGATGCATGAGATAAATTTTAATTAATAAGAAGGATGGGGGGGGGGGAGGGAGTACTTTACTACTTTTTATGTTTAATATAATATTTGATTTACCGTAGTCGATCAAATTACGCTTGATCTTTAATTAATTGAATTTGGCTTGTTTAATTAATTTGCTTTGATTTCTCTGGTAGGACATGTTCGCTGCAGGAACAGACACCACATATACAGTCATGGAATGGGTAATGGCAGAGCTTTTAAAACACCCAGAAGCCATGAAGGAATTGCAGGAGGAAGTGAGAAGTGTGAGTGGTAGTGGAGGCAAACCCATCGTAACGCAGGATGAAACAGAGCGAATGGGATACTTGAAATTGGTAATAAAGGAGACTCTACGCTTGCATCCACCACTTGCTTTGTTGGTGCAACGAGAAGCAAGCGAAGACGTGAAAATACAAGGGTATGATATTCCAGCGAAAACAAGAGTAATTATCAATGCATGGGCGATAGGAAGGGATGGTGGGTCATGGGAAGAAGCGGAGGAATTTAAACCAAAGAGGTTCTTGATGAGCAGAAACGACCTGGTTGATTTTAATGGACGTGAAGTGAGGTATATCCCATTTGGAGCGGGTAGGAGGGGTTGCCCAGGAACTCAATTTGGGATGGCTGTCAATGAACTGGTGCTGGCAAATCTTGTGAACAGCTTTGATTGGAAGTTACCTGGAGGAGCAAGTGCACGGGATTTAGATATGACTGAAGGTTCTGGGGGAACAATTCATAAGAAACTTCCACTCCTTGCTGTTGCAACTCCTCACTAATTTTAGTTGTAATTAATCTAATTTAAATTGTCTGGCGGTGAGAGAGGAGAGAGAAGGCTAGGCCTTTGCTATATATAATAATTCATTCTGCAGATATAGTGACAAACTTTGTTTTCTATCAGGTCTGCTTATTTTCTAGCCAAGGATATGGTTTTGAAGACCAACTTTGATAATATTGAGGGTTCTACAATTTGTAGGAATGAAAGGAAAACTTCTAGATAAAGAGTTTTGGAAATTAAAGATTGACCTAAAAATAAAAAAAATTTCTCAGGAAGTGTTGCTGGAATGCAATGGTCGTAAAATATAATCTGGCCAAGAGGAAGATCGATCTCACCCTCGATCGGCTAGATGTCCTATTTGTAAATGAGAAGATGAATCCATTATGCATGCATTATTCTCTTGCGATCATGCAAATGTAGTCTAGTTTGGTAGCACAAGATGATCTATTATGCTTGTTTGGGCTTCTTATTTGGGTAATTTGGAAGGTCAGGAATATGTTTGTGTTTGAAAATTTAGTCCCTGATCTATATTTGACTTTGTATTTGGCCAATGTATGATGCTGAAGGAGAGGAAGATGACTTCGTTGCAAGAATAACATCATTCTTCCCGTGCCCCTGATGTTTCAAGCTCGAAGGTCTCCCCTTTTTGGCAAGTTCCGTTGCCAGGTTGTTTAAAAGTGAATATAGATGCTAGTTTTTAGAGTTCTGAAAAGATGATTTTGGTTTGGTCATTAGAGATCACAGTGGAAATGTTATTGTTGCCCAATTTTCTCATTTTATCATCTATTGAAAAACCACATTTTCTTTAACATGACACCGATATTTTTGAAAAACCACCACAAATGGAAGAAACCCAGAACTTGGAACTATTTGTATCACACTGACTACTGAGTTGTCTTTTTCTCAATAAATTTCATTGTCTTCTCCGAAGATTTTGGAAAATCTCTCTTTTCACCAACTGATGGTGGCTCGGTTGCTAAGTTTTGTGGCTAGTTGTAGCGAAGAGGTTTACATAACAACATTGACTTCAAAGGGCTGGATATTGAACCATCACAATACAGAGCAAGCTGCAGGCGTTGCAAAAGGCACTAATTTGGGTTTACAATATAAATCTTCTTTATTGCTTCAACCTCAGCTGCAAATTGCCACGAGTCAAGAATTGCAATTTACATGCAGAGAGGACAATTTAAGCACCAGTGAAAAGAAACGATCTATGCCGAAAAGAAAAAGAAAAGAAATGATGTGTTAAAAATTGAAGGGTTTTAGACATTAGAAGAGCTGAAGAAAAACCAGAAAAGACATGGGTTAATGTAGTGAGAAATTATTTGGGAGCCCATAATTTAACAATGGATATGGCAGTGAAAAGACTGAAATTTGGAACGGAATTCAGGTAACCGAGCCCATATCGTTTGGACAAATCTTAGTTGAGTTAGATATGCACGATGCTACTGTGCTCAGAACACATGAGAAATATAATTAACCTTCTGCTGGTTGCTACTAAATGTATATATGAACATGAAGAATGAAGATTTGAAAAATTATACAAAAAACAAAACTTGATCTATTTTTTCATTTGTGAAGACTGAAGATTACAAGAAATTACATCCACTATCTACTTAGAGAAGTGGCTCTGACAATTCCATTTCATTTGATTGCTGCTGTTGCATCTCAGCCTGCTGGAACCCAACAAAGTTAATCCCTAGCCATTGCCATGGCCAGCATGCATATCTCTGCCTGTTTCTGTTCCTTGAGTCTTCCCGGGTATCAGACTCTTCAAGCTGGTGAGTAAGCTCCTCCACCCTATCACTCAGCCTTGAAGCTCTCAAGTCTGCCAACCTCAAAGATTTCTCAGCTGCATCTCTTGCTGCCATGGCCGCAGCAGCTGTCTCTTCCTTGAATTTAAGCTTTTTCTCTGATTCGATCATGGCCTGCTTTGCCTCATCCAGTTCCTGCCGGAGGGATGACAACTGCAACATCCAAATCAAAATCATTTTTTTGGGAAGGGACAAACAGATTATGCATTAAGAACTATAGAGAAGCATTAAATATATAGTAATATTTGTACTTATGTTTCAAAACATTTTCTCGTTGGTAACAAAAATAGTCACAAGTTGCAATTAATGCCAACGCAAGTATGTGCACTGAAATTATAAAAATCGCACAACTTAACTCAGTCTTAATCCCAATTATTTGGGATCAGCTACACAAATACCTTCAAATTATACAAATTGCTATATTCGAAAATTTTGCAACTACTTGTAAAGGCATTGGTTCAGATAATTTTTTAATACAAGTCAAATGCACCAAAACTATAGAGCCAATAATAAGAAAATGGAGGCAGGGCACTTGTGCCATGGGATATGAGCTACAAGAAGATGGCTTGGGCTATAAGAATGACGAGTTGCAGTAAATTTTGCACATTCATGGGAGAGTTTGTTTTCTAAGATTTTGCAGATGAACCAAACTCAAAAAAAAAAAAAAAACTTGGAGTTCCATCTCATTCAAATTGAATGAACTTAATTTTAAGGAGATTTTACCAAAGAAAATTTTAGGAGATTCTAAATCTTCCTTGTCAGGTAGTATACCCTCAGGTGCAGAGTCAGTTTTCTCATGGGGGACATCCATCATAAATGTACTTGGCAAAAATCAAACAAGTTGCTTTAGGAAAAGCATGGAAATATCTATTGTTTTGCCTGACACCAATAAAACAAAGCCAAGGAGAAATATGTAAATTCAAAGCTGTACCATAATATCCAAAACAAGGATATGATTATTCATTGCCCAAAATCCAGGACAGAAGTACTTATTTCTTACCTTCCTCCAAATATAACTGTGATGTTTGTAAGCCAAAGCTCTCTAATATGCATATAGAAATGACCAGTACAGGGATCACATAAATAATCTTTGTTTTTTAAAAAAAAAATCAATACATACCTTACATTCTTCCTATATTTTCAAAACTTTTTACAGTGAGGCTTCACAAGAATATTTATCATACTATATCTTTGTTGAGAAACAATAAAATATCATGGGTTAAAAAATAACCTTTGCACAACATAAAGTCATAAACAATACAATTTGTATCCTAGAAGTATCTAAGTAGTAACGAGTCTTAAGCATAAAGAAGTATTCGCATATTATAGATTTAAAATAGAAAGCATTTGAAAATTCTTCTTGACCATTTCCTAACTGAAATAGTTGAATACTTACTATTCTCTCCTTGGGGTATATAGACATATAGTAGTTAGTCTTTAGAGGCCACATAGAATGACATGATTCAACCTTGGTTTTTCATTGCATTTGACAATGCAAGTGCATCATCTAAAATGGATTTATCATAAAAATATTAAGAAAAATGGAAGCAAGATGCTTTCATTTTTGGGCACTATTTGGTTAAAACAACATCCTTCTTTGCTTCCCAAGGAGAGTGAAATAATGGGTTTTGGGCACTATTTGGTTAAAATACAATGGAAAATGCAAACCAAATACAAATTTTCAGATGTTAACTGCATCCCATTGATGGTTCTGTTTTCCCGACAAGTAGCTTTTTTTTATCAGTGAATTGTATGACTTATTAACTCATACCCAAAGATAGTACAATTTAGGGAGAGGCACGAGATGCAATGATGAGGGCGGATTTTGCCCTCCAATGACATTGTGACACATAGCACCTCAGAACAACTAGGTGACACCCGGAACCACTCAGGCAACAACTTGCCAAGTTAATGGTGTCCAGCCTGGCGGTCTGGCACATGCGCCGACCTGGCAACTTGCAAGACGTGCTCGCTGACGAATTCAACATGCATATCCAAACACTCCCACGATCCTTGGAAGTTGGCCCACGTGCCGAACGATCTGGAGGGTGGTCAACGTGCATGGCGGTTACCTCCAGGAATCTCGGACCAGTTAGACACGACCTCCGGGGGCGGTACATGAGCAAGGCCTATATAAAGGCACCAACCCCAATGACAAAGGGGCAAGTGAGCAAGCAAGCAAGTAAGCATAATCTAGCTCTCAAACTGTGTGATTTTTAGCTCGCGATTTACTATGAGAGTGTTGACTTAAGAATCAGAACGACCTCGTCGGGTTAGTCACCCCGGGTCCTCTGACATTTGGCAGCTCGGAACCTCATAGGTAGCTCAACACCTCACAGGCAACTTGCCACCTAGTCAGCTCGGAACCTCATAGGCAGCTTGCCACCTGGTCAGCTCGGAACCTTACAGGCATCTTGGCACCTCACAGGCAACTCACCACCTGGTCAGCCCAGCACCTCACAAGCAGCTTGCCACCTGGTCAGCTCGCCATCTAGCCTGCCCAGCTTGACTCAGCTCGGCAGCCAAAGTTCACTTCGACCTAAGTCATCAGCCACTTGGAAGTAGACCAAATGACGAGGTACTTAGCCAAAAAATCGATACTTAACCAAAAATCGATTCATCAATTGGCTCCGTCTGTGGGAAACGCTACAAAAAGCCAAGTTCTCATCCTCTAAAAGGCTAAATCCTCTTCTTCCAGAAAGCCAAGTCCTCACTTTTTAGAAACTAAAGCTCTCGCTTTATAGTTTCTATTTTTTATGAACTCAAAGACTATGCAGGAAGTTGATAGCTAACAAATTAAGCAACTCTACCAACTTTATGTCAACTCGGATAAAGCCTCATCAGTCCTCTTCGCGAGGTCCCCTCTACAAAGATGGGCTCTTCGTGGCTTCCGCGGGAGTTGGCGGCCAACAGATTGCATGGACGCCCTTGCTGGTCGAGCCTTCCAAGGCTCCCGTGCGAGCTGGCGACCTAAAGTCAGTAATGTTGCCCCCGTAGGTCGAGCTCCTAGTAGCTTCTTGTAGGAGTGGGTGACCGGCGTCACGAGGCTGATGCAGTGCAACCATAGCACTAAAGTACCGAACTGGCAGAGACCTCAGCACCACTTAAGACCCAATCGCCTCTTCGGCATGAGCAAAGTTCAGGAGTGGACTATGAGTCGCTCCCAAAGCCTAAGGGCCACAATACTACTTAAGACCCAGTCTCCTCTTCGGCATGGGCAAAGTTCAAGAGTGGACTATGAGTCGCTCACAAAGCCTAAGGGCCACAATACTGCTTAAGACCCAATCGCCTCTTCGGTATGGGCAAAGTTCAGGAGTGGACTATGAGTCACTCCCAAAGCCTAAGGGCCACAATACTACTTAAGACCCAGTCGCCTCTTCGGCATGGGCAAAGTTCAGGAGTGGACTATGAGTC